TGCTTGTTGTATGTTGTTTTCAACCCAGATTTGCTCAATAAGGCCATTTAAAGCTTCACGCATCTTCTTAGCTCTAGCTCGCATGACTGGACCTCCTTGGGTGTGTAATGGATTACAAGACATAGCAGATATGCTGTCGTCTTGATTCCCATCAAGTTCCTTCATCCCTCCTTTCTTCTTACCCTTCCCTTCCTCCTCTTAATCTCCTCCATCTTGTTGCTGTCTTGCTTTGGAAACTCCAACCCAAGGGACCACAAGGCAGTGACTTTTTCGATTTTCTAGGGTTTACATCTATTGATTTTTTAAAATTGTGATTGGAATTGATCTTGCCGGTGAAGTGGGTTTCTCCTATTTAATGGGCAAGAATCTCACTTTGATGCATCTCCTTGGATGGGATCTTGGCGGGGGTCAAATTTGGCGAATCTAGTTCACACTAGTTCCTAATTAGCTAGCTGATTGTTGAAAGAAAGGGATGCTATTGGTAAGGCCGGCTATGGTCGGCGTGGGAAGGTTGATTTTCAAGGTAGCAAAGGGGCTCTAGTTCCATTAATGAGTTTCGACAGCATGGGTTTGTTGAGGATCGGCAAAGATGGGAACATGATTGGGAGTATACGAAGGCAACTAAGGGGCCTTTGCTTGTCAGGAGAAGGCCTGTACCCCTCTTGGTTGTTCTTCTTTAAGAACAAGTAAGGCGACAATTTGTGGGTTGGTGACTATTTGTTGCTAGAATCCCTTACTCTTCCTAAGAAGTTAGTTAAATAGGTGAGGATGTCTAGTAGTTCGTAATGCTCATAGTGACTCTCCTTTCTACATTAGTAGCCCTATTTAGCCCATACAACAATTGTAAATTCAATCCCTAATTGCAGATGGCACTCTTTGCTTAATTGTCTATATCTGTCATGGGCATAACTTAAGTCTATTATTAGTGCTGTAGGTTATACTTCTTATTTTGTCTTTAGGTTATTCTGATTTTGGTTATATGCCATGAGATTGGGATTCTACTATAATTTCTTAGTACTTAATATATTTTTTTATTTCTCATAAAAAAATTCTTTTATAATATATATAACTCTTACTTGTTATCAAACAAATATTATAAACGCATAAT